TACTCTTTTTTGGTTTTAATTTTATTGTGTACATAGGCATACCTCATTTTATTGTGCCGTTATTGTGCTCCATGGGTTTTTTTAAACAAATAGGAGGCCGGACTCCCTCCAGCAGCAAACAGGTGACAGCGGGCCTCATTGTGGCAGCCCAGAACCAGACCCCCGCGTCTCTGAGGTTGTGCCTGTGCTGGGCATGCGTTCAAATTGGACTGAAATTTGTTGAGGACTTACCTTCTTCCGACTCACGCCCTTAACTCATCTAATCTTTAAAACAGTGGTTCCGATACACCGAGGCCCAGAGAGACTGACACCTTGGTGGCTTGCCCCAGAGCCCGGGTTTGGCCTGCTGGGCTGTGCTCTGCGCAGCTGTGCCAGACAGAGCTCCATCTTTGGGAGGAGTCAGCACCACTCTGGCAGGAGGTGCGGCCTCCGCCTTTGCCGAGCGCAGGTTCCTGTGCAAATAGGACCCGTTTCAGGACGGCCGACTGGGGCTTCCTGGCCGCGTGGTGTGGAGTGGAGCCCAGGCCGCCGCTCAGCCTCCGGTCTCCAGGCTTGTGAGAAAACCACAGGGAGCCGGCGCCTGTGGCCTTCTGCTGGGCCACCCTTCACAGCAGGCGACTGAGTCCCTGGGAGTGTGTGTCTGCACACGCGTGTCCTGGAAAACAAGGGACGCGCGAGGGCGGCCGTATTGTCGAGGCCTGGCACAGTGGCTGGCAAATAGCGTGGTCAGTGAGCATTTACTGAAAGGGGACTCATGGCTCACAGCGGCAGGGGTCACTTCAGGTTGGAGTGGAAAGACGATTAGGCAGAGGTGGGTACGAGACACCTAATGGGGAGATAGCCGGGAACCACACGAGTAGGAGAGAAAAGTCCCCTGGCTGGAAAGAGTAAGTGAAGAGGGTAAGTCGGAGGGTGTTTCAGGTTAGAATATAGTCTTCCTTCCTTCCATCCTCCCTCCCTCCCTCCCTCCCTCCCTCCCTCCCTCCCTCCCTCCCTCCCGATGCTTTTTCAGCATCAGATGCTGTGTCACAGCTGAAATGACATGAAAGGTAGGTTGGCACCAGATCTTGAGTCCAAAATGCCCCTCTCCGAAAATGAACTTTAACAGTGACTGTTTTCGGAGCCATGGAGAGAGATTCTGAAAGTTAAGTAAGAAAGAGCAGATTGATAGAATGAAACAGGGTGGGTCGGAGAGAAAGGTCAGGCGAGAAAACTCCTGAGAGGGAGGCCAAGGTCCGCAGGTAGGAGGATGAGACCTGGACGGATGCGGTGACGGCGGAGAAGGGAAGGGGGCAGGGAAAGGCCTGGATTTGGAAGGTGTTGCGGCAGCAGAACCTGTAGCCACGGGGCGACCACGGACATGGCACTGGCTCTTCCGTGGGCGGGATTGGTGGCGAAGCAGGAGAGTCAGAGAGGGAGGCTGCTTCCCCTGAACTCTGTGTGTGCCTGCACACTTTCCCTGCACCTCACCTTGGCGGGCCCTTCTGGCTCCTGATACCTACTGGGCAGGGGTTTCCTGAAAGACGGGTCCAAATTGTCACTGTCCCATTGTCGCAAGGAGCACTTTTTTTTTTTTTTAATCCATAAATGGGACTTATCTTTTTTAAGCTGGTTATCACACTGAATTCCGAGAACCTCAAGTCCACAAAGGAACAGAACCGCAGACACGCAGAATCGGATCTCCACGCAAGTGGGCTTTGCATTCCTGCCCCTTTTCTAGCCTGTTGAGGGAGTCCAGTGAGGAAAGTTCTCAAGGCAATCGGCATTGAGCGGCGATGTGCAACCTTTTTCCTCTCCTGGCGCATGAACTAATTACTCAAGTTCTGTGCTACACCCAAAATATATTTTTTTGTCAATCTGACAAAAAATAGGTATGACTGATTTATTCACACCGGACGGCTACTGTTGTGTTGTGTTATTTCTGTATCTGACGGTCCGAGGGACAAGAGGGCAGTGGCCCTGACTAAATGGTCGGGGGCTGCACGTTTCACAAACACTCACAGCACACGGGCCGACAGTCGCCAGCCCAGCGGAGAGGGTCCCAGCGTTTTTCTGTAACTCGTTCTACCAGCCGGCTTGCACCGTGGCCACCGCCAGATGCAGGACAGAGTGTGGGAGGCGGGCACAGACCAGGCCAACTCCGTCTGGATAGTGACCTGGTGTTGAAGGACCCCCGCTGGTGGATCTCGTCCCAGGTCTTCTAACAAGGGGCAGTTTCATAAATCTGAACTTTGCCCACGGGCAGCCCCCCTTCCCTGGTAGGGGGCTGCGAGCAGGGAAGTGGTGAAGGGTCCCCAGCAGAGGGCCCAGGAAGCCGCACCATTTCTGACAGCTGGACACATTCTTGGCTTCGTGTCCCACAGCCTGAGGGCTCGGTGGGTGCAGGCTGCTTGAGGCCAGAGTGGCTCTTCCGCGTCTTTTCGTGCTGGGCGATGACAGTCGTGGCCTGCTAATGATCTCCACAGGCCTTTCATGTTCTCAGAGCCCCGGATTCGGAAGCCACATCAAATGCTCATCGTGTTTCATTGCCTGCTTTCCGGCAGAATTGCATCCCAACTGTCAAGTGGATGGTTGTCTGTTCTTTGCATCTTAGGCTTGGAGGAGGATCCTCATCCAGGCTGGGGTGCCGTGGGCCAGCACCCCGCCTTCCTGCGTGTTCGAGTTTTGACAATACAGGGTGGGGCCGGTGTAGGTAGACAGTTGTTCATCTGGAAAACAGTACTGTGCTTAATAAATAATAATAATAAACTCCGTTTTGCTTACTCGCCGCTGTGAACCTCCGTGTGCCCCGCCCTGAGGTTGATATCCATCCACTTAGCGGTAGCTTAGAACGTGCACTCGGGGTGTGGTCAGCAGTCCGATGTCCTGAAGTGCAAATAATGAGACGTGGGGAGAAGGGATGATTTCCTTTGGAAAACAGCATTTTCCACCCATCAGTGATCTGTTGCTGACTGTTTGGCACAGCGCCTGGCACAGAGTGGGCTCGTCCTGAATGTTTGCAGGAGTAAAAGCAAAAAAAAAAAAAAGATAGCAAACAGCTGGAGAAAGGCAGCTGCTTTGGAGGCGAGGGGGCACCGGTTCTCGCCTCTGGGTGCTGCCGGAGTCCTTCCCACCCGGGCTGCCGGGCGAGGGGAGGGTCCGGGACCAGACGGGTTCGGGAGATGCTGGCTCTCCCTCTCTCTCCTTTTTGGAGTTTTGATGTATCAGACATTAGCTCAGCAGGCATTTCAAGGAGACCAGATATAAAGAGGCCTGTTGATATCAGGTGAACTCAGTACTTTCCAAGTCGATTTGCACAAAGCCTGTTAACCACGCACACTTGAACTTGAGGAGATACTGCTCTTTAGGGTTACCTGTTCACATTTTCACCTGAAGGAGAGACCAAGTCTTCCTCTTTTGTGCGTGTGTACAGGATGTGTGCAAACTGGCACCGGTAGGCACAGACCCAGGCAGGTAAAGTGAAATGCCCAGCAGGGGGGTGGGTAGGTCACTCCAACACGGGCTGGGCAGCTGGGTGGGGGAGCGGTGACACGGATGTAATGGTGGACGGCGTCACAGCTGGAAGCACGCCGAAAGGGAGGGGTGAAACCGACGGGAGGTTCTGCGCGCACTGGGCTGGTGTTTGACCCGAGCGTGAGAATGTAGCCTCGGACACTGCTCTCAGAGACCTGGCCCTTTCCCCTGACAATTACAGCGTCCCTCTTAGGTTCTCTGTCACCAGGCTTTCACAGAGTAAACACTGAGGTCGTACCTCAGTATTTCACAGGTTGCACCTCACTTGATGTTTATCATCGAACTGTTCTGGAAATTTCATTCTCAAAACTTCAGCCAAGAGGTTATTTGGGAATAAGGTTAATTGGGAAAACTTCCTGAAACCCACACACCATTGCATGAGGGGCCTTTAGGTAAAGTCCTGCAGCACCTCGGCGCGTCAGGGAAGTGTCCCCAGCGCTGACAAGGGGCGAACCCCAGAGAGACCCTGCACACGAAGCTGCAGACGGGAGAGGGAGGGGCCGCGGTAAACGGGCAGGAGGGTCCTTAGACACCCGAGGGAGACACTGTCAGAGAGTGCGTTTCCTGCCGGCCACTCAGGCATTGACTCCAGGGGGTCATCAGAAATGAAAACAAGGTCGGAATCGGCGGTGTCCCTGGGGTCTCGTGTTGGCATGACACACAGTGAACGTCACATCACATCACGTCACGCAGCCCAGGACAGAGAGCAGTGTGCCTGGAATGATCACTTGTGACCACGCTTAGTGGGAAGATGGCGTTTAGTTCTCAGAGTTCTTAATGGAGCCCAGGAAGTCAAACACGTATCGGAAGGTTGTTTCCAACCTTCCCCTTCCCACGACTGAGGGGTGGGGCAGCCTGAGTGGCTTACGCTGAGCGTGGCTGCGGCCGTGAAGGGCACGCCTGAAGCCAAGCAAGAGCGGACTTTGCCTGCCCCCCCCATGGAGGGCTCCACTGGCGGGTGGGCTCGGGGCGGGAGGGTCCGCAGGCCATCGCCGCACATGTATCACGGCCCCGCTCTCTTTATTCCGTGGTCACCCCAGGCGGCCGTCACCAGGCACCCAGGACGGCACCAGCTGCTCAAGAACGTCTTGGTTGCTAAAAATCCCGTGCTGACTTTCATCGCTCTGGGGTCTCTTGCGTTCAGGGGAATAAAGGGGCGCTGCTCCCACCCACGTTGCCATGCTCCCTCTGCTATGACAGGCAAGGGCTCTTCCTTCCGAGCCTATTGATCTATCAGGTGGTAAATGGGACAGTTCCCGGGTCTGCTATCCGGGTCCTGCCCCCGCACACCAATGCATTGTCGGGACACGTTCCTTACTGGGGACAGATGCCGGAGCCCTGGCTTTGAAAGCCCCGGGGAGAGGCGGGCGGGCCGGCCCTGGCCAGGGATGGGATGGGAAGTGGCCGGGCCGCCTCGGGCTGGCCGGTGCGCCGGTGCGACTGCTGTGCACTGACCCTTTGCTGACTGCCATGCTTTTCTCTTGTAGGTGATGTGCCTTCAGGACTTTTTTGGTGACGATGACATTTTTATTGCATGTGGACCAGAGAAGTTCCGTTACCAGGATGATTTCTTGCTAGATGAAAGTGGTAAGGAAAAAAAAAGTTCAAAACCAAGGGAAATCTGAGGCGGCTTTCCAAAGTGAGCCGTGCCAGGCCAAGCTGATGTCAGCTCCGAAGCCGCCAAATCAGTCTCAGCCCCCGGCCCAGCACGGCTTTCCCGTGGCTCGGGTTCCTTTGATTTTTTTTTTATAGAAAACAGATGAAATGATAATGGGGAAGGTTAAATCACTTAGAAGGGTAAATTACCAATGGCTAATTTATAACCACTTAGTAACTAAATCGATGTTCCCTGGAACACCACGGTGTGGATTTCTACTACTTTGATGAGTATTTTCCTTGACATTTGTACTTGAGAGACAGGCAATCGTGAAATTACCACGTGTGTTTCTAGGCTCCGCTTCCAGGAGGCCTCCTTTTGTGGCCTTTCTTTTAAATTCTTCAGAGTTTGATGTCGTTCATCCGTCCATCCACGAGGGACCCCTCGGAGGAGCGTGGCTTCCTCCCAGCAGAGCTGACGGTGGGAGAGGGGACAGTCGGTAAACAGGGAGAGATGCATCACAGAGGCTGCGACTCGGGGGTCCCCCTTTCTGACACCGTGAATTGTCCCGGCAACTTGACCAGTGTCACGGAGAAGGTTTTCACAGAGGCCTTTCTGTGAAAAGTCTTCCTTTTAATGTAATGACCGGGATATCACATAATTATGAATAATTCAAGTTTAGGTTGTCGGGAAGGGTTTTTGAAGTGCCGATGAACTTTGGCCTAGGCACAGATAGAACTAGATAGGCACAGATAAGAACTAGAACTAGAACTAGATAGGCACAGATAAGGCGGGTTAGCTTTTGGATGGGAAATCTCCCATCCCACTTGGATGGGAAATCTCGTACGTGAGCACCGAGGTAATCGGGTAAGTGATACAGTGAACGCAGCTGATCGTTATCCACGTGAGGTACCGAGATTACATATGTGTGTACACATCAGTTACATGCACTTACGCTTGCATGCTACAACTATTTCATCATTTATCAGTGACTCAGAGTGTGTAGGGAGGGATGAGAATACCCTTAATTGTGTAAACCACAAAGATTTATACAGACGTATCGCACAGATCAAGTCCCCGCCCACCCCTTCCTCAGGGTCGGGCAACTGGGCCGGCCTGCGGAACATGGGCTGCTGGGGGTCAGGCGGACAAGCTGACGGCAAGTTTGGAGATAAATGAATAGGTGGCCTGGATTTTCCACTTGCAGAAAGTAGCTGCTTCTGACGGAACGGTCTGGGAGACCAGATGCACTCTGAAACGCAAGCATCGCTGGCTTCTTTCACGCCAAAACCCAGCCGTCCGCCCGGGGTGGGGGGGGGGGCGGCTGGTTCCCACCAGCAGGGTCCGCCCGGGCTCCGTCCCGGCCCTGGGGAGACCTGGGGCGGGGAGGCCTGGGCTGGGCCGTTCCTCCCGACAGCACGGGATCCCGCAGCCCGCCGCTCCTCACCTGTGTGGACCGGCGGGCAGGGAGGCTTTCTGAGAACGCACAGAAAAATGCCAGGAAGCCCCGTGCAGTTTCCTGTGAGACGCCTTTCCCACCGAGTGGAATGTGCACAACCCCCCCCCGTATCCACCTCTCTGCCTGTCTGTCGGCCCAGCAGTGCACATGTGTGTCGGGCACACGCGTGTTGGGCACACACGTGTCGGGCCGCCCGGCCCACGTCAAACGGCTCCCCTGGCGGATGTGCCGTCACTGTGTCTTGATGTGGAAGGCGTTTGCCGAGTGGCAGTGCCTCCCCCACCCTGAAACAGACATGCGGATTGGGAGGAGCGGGGACGGTGGGGGGAGAATCTAAATCAAGATTTTCTTTCCTTGGGTGAACTCGACCTGGAGACTAGATTCCCACAGTGACGGCTGCGGTTTCCTGTCACGTGTGTGTGGCATGCCCCCGTGCTGATGCATCTGAGCGGGACTCCTTGTAAAAGCGCTGAGTGTGTGCCTGCACCCCGCTCAGGGGTCCTGGCTAAATGGTGTTTGCAGGTGGGGGCTCCCTTTGCTCTATCCAGAGTGGCTCCTGCAAGACGCGTTGGCGGGGCACAGGCAGCTCCGGGATGAATGCGCCCGCCAGCCCTGCTCGGTTTCAGGGGGCGCCCGCAGTGGCTGGGGGCTGCCAGGCGGCGCCTTTACTTCGAGCCTTTCGGAGGGAACCCAGCTCCCAGCTGGGATCAGCAGTGATGCGCCCCCCTAATTACTGCTGGGACGGTGTCGGCCCTCCAGTGACGCACTGTCCGTCAGGGACACGTGGTCCCCCTGGGCTCCCCGGAGCCAGATCAATTTGTGGATCGGCAAGGAGCCCCTCCCCCCGCAACCCCGTTTTCACTGGGGGAAAAACGCCTTCCTGTTCCCAGCTCAAAATGGAACGGTTTTAGCGATGGCGTCATCAACAGGTGGCGTGCTAACACCTTCGGGAACCGAGGCTAGGGCACAGTTACAGACGGACGGAGCAGGCCGGCAGCGTGGTCCTCGCGCGGGCCCCTGTCTGATTTAGGAGGGTGAATCACCCGCCAGGAAAATGCCAGACTGCAGACGGGGGCTCCGAGTGGTTTTGCTGGTGTATTGGTGATAAGTGGACAGATTTGCGATTTGTTGCCATTAAAACGTGGCGAGATTTCGTTGAAAAATGCCTGCCTTAGACCTGGGAGGGACAGTGACCTCCTCGGTGGTAAGTCCATCACAAATGTCCCCCCTTTGGCCCCCGCACTGCCCGGCCCCAGCCTCACACCGACACCCCCAAACCAGCTTGGCCAGTCCTTTCACCCCCTCACCTCCCCGCTGCCAGGCCTGTCCCTGCTCAGGATTCTAAGTACCTGTCGCCCTCTTTTTGTCTGTGTGTGTGTTTTTCCTGCCGATTCCCTAGTGCTCCTGGTTCCGGTGTCCACAGGTGGTACTTGAAACTTGCTATATCCGCTTAGAGGCACGGGTTTGCTAGGGCTGCTTGTGACCAAGTCCCACACACTGGGGGCCAAACAATAGAGATACATTCTCTAACGGTGCTGGAGGCGGAAGTCCAAGGTCGAGGCGTGGGGAGCGCCTTGCTCCCACTGAAGGCTCCAGGAAGAAGCCCTCCTGGCTTCTGAGGGCAGCCGGTGATCTTGGGGTCTCCGGGCTTGTACCAGTGTCACCCTGATCTCTGCCCCGATGACGTCCATGTGGCTTTCTCCATGTGCCCAAGTGTCCCTCTTCTCATAAGGACCCCGGGGGTGAGTCAGGGCCACCTTTCTGCAGCCGCACCTCCTCTGAACTTGGTTCCACCTGCAGGCACCCTGTTTCCAAGTTAGGTCGCGTTCACAGGCCGCCACATACACATCTTTTTTTGGGGGGAGTGGGAGGCACAATTCATCCCACCACAGATGTCGTCTGAACGTGCGCAGCATTTGTTTGAACTTGAGTGACAAGCACACTCCTTTCATTGGTTCGTTCCGACCTGTCTGCAGATTTGCACGACTCTGTCCACTGGCGGAGAACACAAACCACTGAGCTGGGACTGGCTACCCCTCACCTGACCTTTGGCGGGGGGTGCCTGATGGGTCAGAGGAATGGATGAAAACTTACCAGCAAAAAAAAAAGGTCTTAAGTAAATTTACCATTTTGCGGTGGCCCACATTCATAACCATCCTGGGCCGCATAAAGCCAATGGGCAGCAGGTTGGACACCCCTGTGAGATTTTAATTTAAAAAAAAAAAAAAGAAGCCAATGCCACAAGCTTGGTGACCAGCAGTGCAGTGGGGGCAGGGGCGCCTGTGAACCTGACCTTGGGCTCATCACAGGCTTACTGTGGGGCACAGCCCCTTCCATTCGGAGGGTACGGAGTGCAGAAGAAATTTAGACAATTGAACTCTCTTGCGAGGTTTCTTGTCGGTTTGTAACATTTCTACTTGTGAAGTCATGGATGCCTGAGGCAGCACTGACACTTTTGGGGTCCGTGTGTGCATGTGTATAGGTGTGCAGGCGTGTGCCTGTGTCCATGTGTGTGCGCACAGCGTCCTGTCTCCAAGTCCCGCTCCTCTCTGCACCACGACCCCATCTGAGCGCAGGCCCTTCCTGGGCACACGATTCCTGGGGGTGTGTTTCCTCAGCTCCCCTTACGGACCCCGTGGTGCTGGGTTTGCAGGCCCTGCTTGGGAAATGTTTCTAGAAACGTCCATCCCAGCCACTCAGGACTCCTGTCCTGAGTGTAGTGACATGGGAGCTGCCTCTGCCCCGCTCGCTCCTGGATCTCACTGCTTCCCCAGCTCCCGAGGCGGGGAGGGGAGTGGGGTTGGACGTGCAGCGGCAGGGCCAGCCCTGGGTGAGGGGTGGAAGCCACCGGTCTGGCCCGAGCCCCCGCCCTCCATGCTGTGTGGTCTCTCGACCCCATGCCTGCTTTCTATTCTGCAAAACACCTTTTTTTCCCCGGGTTGTAATGGACCCCAAATGAGATAATAAATGTCAAGGCACATCCAGAGCTGTGCTCCTCATTACCCAGTGACTGATCTGAGCGAGGGACACCTCGGCCATGACGCGTCTCCGAGTGGGCTGCAGCTGGGCCCTTGCCCGGGGAGCTGCCTGCAGGCGTAATGGGAGGCAGCTGTGACCCTGGCCCGCTGCTGGGGCCAGCGGGGGCCGGAGGCGGTCACCAGCCTCTCTCCTCCCACTCTCCACTTCCACTCCAGGGGCGGAGTTAAGGGGGAATTGGGGGCTCTGGAAGACCCTCGGCCCACTCTAGGGGGACTCCCTGGGAGATGCAACTCAGAAGCAGCCGGCCATCTCCAGCCAGCACCCTCGGGAGCCCCAGCCCTTACGGCCTTGTTGATCTGGGCTCCTGGGTGGGGACGGCCGCCCTGCTCTGGGCTGGGCTGCGGGCTCGGGTCCCGGGGACGCTGGGAGGGTGTGCAGAGCCTGGGGGAAGACCAGCCTTCTTTCAGTGCGTGGAGTTCTTTGGTTCATTCTTCGGTGCGTTACTCTGTAGCTGAGCTGGCTCACCCCGGGCCAGGCGGCCTGCTGGGCACA